TTGGATATAGATAAATGCCTAATTCAGTAATTAGTATTTTAAAACTGTGAAACCTTTTAAGTTAAGTGGTCTATTAATTAACTACCAATTATCTTGTCTGACTAACGTATCAATAGAAGTAAATTACCTACTAGCTATTTGACAGATTTAGTCCTTTACCATGCAAAATTTCTTCAGAACATAAAAGGCCTAGAGTTAAATGCTTTTGCTTCCCCCTTTTGGTTAATCAGGGATCAATGTGCTGCTCACGTATAAAGGCCAAATGCAGCTCTTTGATTGAAAGGATCTACAGATAAACTTTGGCTTTTAGAAATAGCAACCAAGATTCTATACCCCCTCTGAAAAAAACATCAAGTGAAGCAATATTAATATTTGGAGGGGAACCATAGGATTGCAGTTGCTGAATAGAGATCACCTTTCTATATTTCAAAGTTGAATGCAGAGGTATTTTCAAGGTTTTTTTTTTTTTTTTCATTTTAGTGAGATAGAGAGCCTATGTGAATGATTTCTATGCTAGTGTTAAAGTGCATTTGTTCTCAATGGCCTTCTCCCAACTATGTGTTTCACAGATTATGCACACCAAAGCCTACCCCATAGCTATCACTTCTTGACTGGTGACCAAGAGAAGATTCCTAGGAAATCTGGTAGTAGAACAACACTAAAAGGTGAAGTGCCACAGCAGACTGCAGACTTGTGCAGAACAATGTGGTAGGGGTCCTCTCCTTGAGGCCTASTTATTGGGAAAAAAATGATTGGTTGGTATGTATTCAATTGGAGCTTGATTCAAATTGGCATATCAAGAGCAGCTTTCTCAAAGTCCTCAGCCTCACACCTATGAACAGAGTTAACACACGACTGTAAAATTGAGCATACAGGTGGGGCAGGACCACTGGAAAAGTCACAAGTCAGTAGGAAACAAAAGGAGATACAAATAGTGAATGTGGGCTAGAGTTAAATGCTTTAAGTATCAGCTTGAGTTAGTTCAACATAATACTTACCTTTTGAAAGTTCACTGCAATAGACCCACATGAGCATTCTCTAAATAGGTTATCTTCTAAGCATGTCAGCAGAAGCGTATTACGTATTATTGAATATTTATTGAGTGACTTAAGAAAAAAGTTCTGTTTCAGGCAGAAGAAAACAAACAGATGAATATAACCAACTACCTTCAGACAGCTTGCCGTCTACTTTGGGATAGGGCACAACGTAGACAAAATTATGCCAAAAATCCATACTATGCACCAAAGGATGGCAATGACAACAAATGCTGTCAAACAACAACAACAACAAACAACAAACACCCAGGGAAAGAAAAGCCTTATGTGAGTCATTTAAGTGCAGTTTCCTTGGAAAGTAAGGGGTTGGACCAGATGGTCTCTAAGGATCCTTTAGCTCTGATATCCAAGAATGCCAGGAAGGGCTACAGTGGGGAGGGAAGGGTAGACTGACAACTTGGACTAGACTTTAAAAGGCACAGGGAGTAGAGAAAGAGGCAATTCCAGGCAGCGAGACCAGTATGAGGAATGGTTTGGAAGTGGGAACATCCACAGCTTTTCAGTGATATCGACATGGTCTTCTATTTCACCGTTCATAACTTTAACTCTGAGTCAGGATCAACATACTATTTGTTATTCTACGAAAACAGACATTAACTGCTACTTAAAAGTCTGGCTGAAGATGATCTATTCAAATAATTGAACAAGCTCTTTGCTCAGCTGACGTACTTAAAAATGTATAAGGGAATTTTTTTTTTCCCTCACCCAAACACAGTAAAAAGATATAATCATTATTTTTTCTGGAAGGAAGACAACACAAGTCAGGCCAACACATCTTTGAAAAATCATCACTAACATTTTTGCTTAAGAGTACTACTGGAAGGAAAGTACTCTCAACAGTACTACTTAACCTTCCCACCCAAATCACTGTAAAAACTATAATATACCTTCTTTTAAATTTTAGTTGCAAATTTTCAATTTCTTCTCAAAAGGTTTTAAGTCTCGGCAAGAAGTCAGAAATTCCAACTCTAAAATGAATTTTCTGACTCAATATTGAAAATAATTCTTAAGTTTAGATGCTTAGGGGAAAAACAGCTGGAGAATTTAGGAGCCTCCCATATTTTAATATGAAGTGACATCATTACCACCAAGGCTTCCAAGAACTCCCTAAATTGTGTGGTTAAACAACATCTTGAGGCACAGTGAGGATGCTAGAAAGGTGCTGTGTTCCTCCTTGGTATACAGATTCAGTTTCAGAATAATCTTTCCATTAGAGATGTGATTCAATTTCCTCCTTATGTTAGAAAGTAGACTAGGCACGGTGGCTCACATGCCTGTAATCCCAGTGGCTGGGGAGGCGGAAACAGGAGGATTACAAGTTCAAAGCCAGCTTCAGCAACTTAGCAAGACCCTAAAGCAACTTAGTGAGACCCTGTCTCGAAATAGAAAATAAAAAGGGTTGGGGATAGGGATGTGTCTCAGTGGTTAAGCACTCCTGAGTTCAATCCCTCGTATCAGGGAAAAAAAAAAAAAAGGAACCTAATCTTAGAAGTATAGTATATTATCTGGGCATGGTGGCACATACCTATAATCCCAGCTACTGGGGAGGTCGAGGCCACCAGGATTAGAAGGTTGAGGCTAGCCTAGACAATTTAGAACTTATCTCAAAATAAAATCTGAAAGTAGCTGGGGATGTAGAGAAAAAGAAAAATACAATATTTCAATTTATGTGCATTTCTAAAGCTGAGGCTATGGATTTTCTGAGCCTAACACATTAGTACTCATTTTATAGTACGTCTAGGGAAGACAAGATGTTCTCCTATTATAAATATTTTTTCACCCAAGACTATATGGGGTTTCTTTAAAAATCTGGTTACATTCAGATGAGGTGGTGCTTGCCTATAATCTTATCGGTTGAGAAACTGAGGCAGGAGAATTGCAAATTCAAGGGCAGCCTCTGCAATTTAAGGAGACCTTAAGTAACTTAGTGAGATCCTGTTTTTTTTTTTTTTTTTTTGGTAGTGCTGGGGATTGAACCCAGGGCTTTGTGCATACAAGGCAAGCACTCTACCAACTGAGCTATATCCCCAGCCCGAGATCCTGTCTTAAAATAAAAAAAAAAGGTGGGAATGTGGTTCAGTGGTTAAGCGCCCCTGAGTTTAATCCCTGGTACCCAAAGTCTGATTACATTTGAAATTTACAAGTCAACAAAATAATCAGAGAACAGTCAGGGAGGTGAAACTTCAGAGTACTTGGTGTAGGTAAAAGTTAGGAAATCTTGCATCATCTCAGTCAAAGGTTACTGGAAAAAAAACAATTCCCAGTTGCCTGTGGTGCACACTATGGTACTGACAGCTGTGTATCTGTTTAAGGAAGGCTGATGCATTGACTGAAATCAACACAGTTCACTTTTACCATTCTTCAAATATGGAAACTACATTACACCTGCAATTTATGTCTGTCTTTTGTTCCAAATAGCAGTTTTTTGTTTTAGTCAGAATTATAATCATACAAGATTCTTGATAGAGTATACTGCCAAGTTTATTTAGTTGGACTAGCATTTACTCACCTAAACCAACCCTTTGATACTTGTTGCCAGAAAAAAACAAAACCAAAAAAACACCTTTAATTCAGCTCCCCATACCCACTGCACATAACCAACACACACTGACATGCATGTACACACAGAGGCACATTCACATTTCCCTAAACTTTATCTTCTTACTCATTCAAAACATGGACATGAGTTAGCTCAGGTTATTTATATGTTCATTTCTAGAGGTTCTGAAAGGAAATGAAGCTCATGTTTAAAAAATAAAACATCAAAATAAGCTTCTTCCAGGATCAGAGAATAGGCTTGCTATTGGATAAGCAACATGTAAATAAGTACTTCTAAAGCCAGATTAAGTTTTTAAGCAGTTGCTAAAAAATTAAGGGGTTTAATGTGACCTATTTAGGAGAAATAGTTCTTTGTTGTGTTCTATTAGAAGACTAATCTGCCCATGGAAAATAATATAAAACCCTATCTCCTTATCCCTCTACTTATTATTATTATTATTATTATTATTATTATTATTTTATTATTTTTTTGTAGTGCTAGGGATCAAACCAAGCCCAACATGTGCTAGTGTTCTACCACTGAGCTACACTCCCAGCACTCTCTACTTCTTCTTTATTGGATTCAACCTGTCTACAAAAGGGAAAATACTATGAGGGAAAAAAAGCATAAAGTGGGTTAACAGTGCACAGAATTACAGAGGAGAGCTTCACATCTGCCTTTATTAAAGATAATCCAGCTGAAAAGTTATGGTTACTTTGTCCCTCCAAGCAGACAGCCCCCACCACCACCCAATTCCTAGATGCTACATAGCTCTGCTGGCAAGAAGTTCACATTGTTGAAGTCCACAGCTCAACAGGTCTCATGATGCCCTCCCCGCTCTGTGGTCCTATCAAGGTGACTTATGTTCTCATTTGAGAAATTTTTCCAAGCTGAAAAAGTCCTGAGATGTCCTCCAACAGGACAATGCTGTGGATCCTGGTGAAGATAAGTGATGGCCAGGGTGGCCTGATCACTCCCAGTGGACCACAAATGCTGATCTCAGAATCTTTGGCACTTTCTAAAATATGGCTGAGCAGTAATTTGGAAGCCTAAACCCTGACTTTAGGAATTCATAAGAACAACCAATGTTTTATAAACTCTGTGGAAAGTAAAATAAACAAACCCAGGGTTTTATACTCTCTCTTGTTATTTTTATGGCAATTTTTCAAACTAGTTCACAATGTTAAGTCTTTTACCCTCTCAAGAAATACTGAATTTGGGGGAGAGGAGAAAGTAATGATTTAATAGTAACCAACATACAATGAAATTCACCATGGGGGAATAGCTCATTAGGAGGCTCGGTGATGGGAGTACAGGTGGCTTTCAGGCTGGCACTGAGATCTCTATCCTTCTCAAAGAGGGCCCAGGACTTAAAAAAAAAAAAAAAAAAAAAGGTTTATATTTACCCAGAAGTGTGCATGGCAGTTGACCATCATGGTTCTCTCAATGAGCTCATCAGGACATTCCAGAAGGTGATGTCCAGAGACCACGCCAGCATTATTGACCAGGACTGAGACTTCACCAACCTCTTTGCGGACCCTTTCAGCGGTCAAGTAGACATTCTCCCTTTTCCCCACATCACAGGTGTAGGTAAAAACCTGCAAGTTACAGTGGGGCAGAATTTCTTCCTCACCATTCCCAGCTGTCCTCAGAAGTCCAGATGAGGGGGAGAAAATGGAACAGAGAAGGAGGTACAGAAAGTGAGTCACATAGCAATCAGAAGGACAAAGATCACACAAAACAAAAGTACTACAGTGAGCTTCAAATTTCTGACACCACAAGGCTTGCCAATGACTGAACTTACAGCTGCTTTCCTCCCCCCAGTCTTTGGAAATTGCAGCAATTTACTGGATAACTTTGCTTAAGGGAAAGTCATGTAATTGTGACAAGCCCAAAACAAGTAGACCACATGGGATCAGCTTGCTGGAGCTAAAGACACCTGCAAAGAACAGATCTCAGCCCAGAGAATAACACGCACACACATTACACATTCCTATTTTGGGGGGTGGGAGGGGAAGCTGGGGGAAATTGACCAGAAATAGCTCTTAATTCAGTATGAGCACCATTAAAATAGAAATTCACTTTAAAGTTCATAAATCAAAGATGTAATCTGAATTCATCCATAGGCAAAAAATGAATTTAAAGTTTCTCATGAAAAAGTAGGGGCCCTGACTTGTTCTTATTGGGGTGGAACATAAATTAATGGGCCACATAAAAACTTGAATGGCTTAAAAACAAAATCTCTTCTCTGGAAACCCTTATCCTTTGGGTTTTGGAAGGGAACACACACAATCTGTATTTGCTACCCCTTCACACTAGCATCATTTCCAAATTTAAATCAAGAAAGCAGGTGCCAAGAAGTCTGTAACAAATGATGGACAGAGAGAAAGAGTGGCACTCAAATAAATATTCATATAGTTCAATATTTCTCCTGGAAATGAAAACTTCTGTCAAAAAGCAAGAACAATCATCAAATTTTCCTGGACCAATATTTTATGTTTGGTTACAGTTTCCACTTAGGCTTTTTCTTCTTCATTGTCTTCTTCTTAAGTCTCAGATTCAGGTWATACAAAAAATGCAGATTGGGGTGACCAGAAACATGAAAGAAATTTACATGAATTCATGAAGCTGAAATCCTTCAATAACTTTCTCAAGAGGCAGGTCATCTCTCAGTCATGCTGGGGTCTGTAGTAACTAAAGCACTTACTTATCGCAGGCGAAACAATGTAATTATTTTCTTTTGGCTAAAGTTATAGCGAAACCATCAATACTGCCCTCTTCTAAGGGGTTCAGACCGCAGTAACACATATACACTGATACAGTCCAGTCTAGGAACAACTTCTCAAAGACGCTTCTGTTTCCCATCATGCGAATGCAAGCAAGAGACATTTCTTAAGGAATTCATCCTGAGGTAACAAGTTCCTTCTGCCTTCCCTAGGCTCAGAGGGCATAGGAAACACCAGAGTCGTCCCCAAAGGGACGGACCTCCTTAAAAGGCTGGGTTTGGCACACTTTCCTCCTTCCAATAGTGCGGTGATCATTCTCTTTTATTAGGGGGTAAATTCCACTCGTTTTCCAAAAGAATGATAGGGTATTCTTTTTCTCTAGAGCGGGGGCTGACCATGACAGTGGGATTTGGGGACCTTCCAGGGGAGAGTGCACGGAGGGGAGAGGTTTTACCCAACAATGCTCGGGCATGAGTCCGAGTTACCTTGCAGCGCGGCGGCATCAGCTGCCTCCAGGTCGCGGTAGATGTGGCGAACCATGCCCGCCGTCTCCTCGTTGCTCTGCGTGTTGATGTCCCAGAGCACCAGCAGCGCCCGGCGCCGGGCGAACTCAAGCGCGAAGAGACGGCCCAGGCCGCTGCCGGCGCCCGTGATAAGGCACACCTGGCCGGCCACGCTCTTCTCCTTGGGCCGCACCAGCCAGCGCGCCGCGGCCAGCACGAACGCCCAGAGCACTTTGAAAGTGACCACGAAGAACTCCACTACGATGTTCATCGCGACGCCCGGGGGCCCGCGCGAGCCCAGAGCCCCTATCCGCGCCCACCCCGCGCCAGGCACACCAAAGGAGCCCTTGTCAGAGCGGCCGCGACCAGAAGGCTGCACCCCGCGCCTGTCCCCGAGGTGCCCGCCGGACCACAGTGCGCGGCGCCGCTCTCTGCTAGCGCGGTGCTGGGCTCCGCGCAGTGGCCCCGGGCTGTGCCCGCCGCGGCTGCCGCCCGGCTCGGCGCCTCCTGCCGGCGGCCGCCCGCCTGTCCCGGAGAGTCCTGCCGGCCGGTCCCGCTGCAGCGGCGGTGACAGCCGTGAGTTAGGCGACGCGCACTGCCCTCATGGCCAAGCTGCCGCCGCCCGAGCGTCCCCGGAGCCGGCGCAGCGGCTCCTTCTCACCCCGGGGAAGGAATGAGCGGTGGAGACCGCACCGGCTGGCCGGCTGCCGCAGGAGTTGTCAACTTGACCCAAGTTGCGAGAGGGTRGGAGAGTGGGGTGCGGGGCAGCGGAGCGCCGGAAAGAGGGGACTCGGTAGGTTCAGGCGAGCGCTGCCCAACGGCTTGCAGCTGCCCCTGCGGTCTCGTGTCCCCCTGCCCTGCACTCCCCGCGGCTGTCACTCGGGTACCGGGCTCCGCAGCACAGCGCCGCTTGCAAGTTGGAGCGCTCCCGGCCGGCTGTGAGAGGGTTCCACGCTCCGCGCTATATAACCCGCGACGGGGAAGAGCCGGCGGCGGCATCGGCTCGGCCCTCCCTCCGCTCGGCCCTCCCCGCCCCCGGGCGCACCCCGCCCCCGGCCCAGCCCCCAGCCCTCCGCCCGTCGTCCGCCGAGCCGCGCGGGGCAGCCCCTCTCACACGGCCGTGGCCGCAGTCTCCAGCTCTCATTGCACCTCCCTTCGCAGCTCACGCCCCCTGCCGTAGGTCGTCCCTGCCTCCGCCTGTCAGGCCGCGCGGTCGGCGGAGCCCCGGCCATCATCCCCTGGCCCTCGCGTCCTCGCTCTTCCCGGTCTTGCCACTTTCGTTAGCCAGGGGACTTCGGACTGCCCCGCCTGCGATCAGGCGCTGAGGAAGACAGCCCTGCAGGCTAGAGGACAACGAGAAGGACCTCGGCAGCGCGGCAAGGCGGGTGCCAGAGTCTGACTACGGGTGGCAGAGAGTTGAGAAGCGGCCAAAAGTGGCTTCGAATCGCTGCTACCTGTTTGGGACATTATCCCAAAGGCTCTCATTTTCCTGGCTGAAATCACCACCCCGGTAGTCACCCACAGCCCTGGTCAGGCGTCTCCCTCCCGTCGAGCGGACCATGGAGTGATGCATGCCGGGGTTTGTAGTTTATTCCCCAGGGGCGTGTTATTTGGTTAATTTACAAGGTGGAAGTCGAGCTAATCCTGTCAACGCAACCTAGGGATTAGGACCCCGAGCAGTCAATGTGTCACCACTCTTTGCACTTGAATTGATTAAAGTCTAACTACTGCATTTGCTTTTCCCACAAAAGTTTCCCCCAAAAGTTGATTGGAAGAAGCTAAATCGGGCATTTCTTAATTTTGCAACTTCAAGGTGGGCTCTCAGCTCTGAGTTCTTTTCCGGCTTATTTTAGGACGCCTATAAATCGTGGGGCTTCTCTCGCCGTCTTTAAGTGGGCAGTGCGCATGCGCCAACTTCCTCTTTTTCCGGCTGGAACCATGGAGGGTGYCGAGTAAGTTACTCCTCGTCCTCTCGAGAATCCTTCTCCATCCCCGAAAATATAGGCCATTTGTCTCAGTTTTTCCCTGTCTGGTTGTACTTCTTACCTTTTCTCACTTATCTGTGTGTTTGTGACGCTCCATGACACCAGTAGGGACCCCGGGCTGGGATGGGATGCGGGCGGCCATAGGGTGAAGGTTTTGGAAGTACCGGGAACGAGGTACCAGCGCAGAATTTATGTGTGCATCCAAGCCGGTTGGGCAGAGGTCCATCCCTCGATGGAACCGAGGTATATCGAGGCCGGTACAAAACCTCTTGAGTTGAATTCATCCTTGCTTAGTACTTGGCCCAGGCGTTTTTGCTTACAGGCCTTTGCTTTCAGTATGCGTGGCTTGGGACTTGAACCAGAGTGGAATTTGGCCTTTTTATTTTTGAGAATCCCAGGTTCTTTAGGCAGAAAGTTAGGTGTCTTTGTAGCAGTCTTAAGGTTTTGATACATCTTGTGTAGATATTTTCTAGGTATATTTTCTTAGGTATAATTGTTGGAGGCCAGGACTGGAGCTGGAATATTCGTTCTGTTAATGTCACATTTGCGGTTGTGGTTTATCTGAAATGTGTGTTAGAGGGCGAAAATTACTGAAGGAAATTTAAAAATTCTGTTAGACTGGAGCATGTTAGGGTAACTTTAAGATACCAGTGATGGTGAAGAGCCACTGATGCCCCATGTGATAACACTTTGCTCAGTACAGCATGGGAGTGATGCAAGGCAGAAAGGTTTCTGAACTATTGATAATATTCTTTGTATGCTAATGACAGAGAGAAGAAAAAGAAGGTTCCTGCTGTGCCAGAAACTCTTAAGAAAAAGCGAAGGAATTATGCAGAGCTGAAGGTAAAGCGCCTGAGGAAGAAGTTTGCCCAAAAAATGGTAAGTTTGGATGCACTCAGCTTTGAGAGGAGTCCATGTGGGATTGAGAATGAAGTGAAAGTTCTTAGCTAGACTTGTTTACTTCACTGTTGTACCAAGGAATTGCTTGAAGCTTCCTAATGTAGTTTTTGGGAATGTTAACTGTACTGTGGCAAGAAAAATTTCAAGGGAAGATTACTTTAAAAATTGCTATTGCAAATTGTTTGGGAGTTAAGAATCATGAATAATTGGTAATTGTTTTTCAGCTTCGAAAGGCAAGGAGGAAGCTAATCTATGAAAAAGCCAAACATTACCACAAGGAATATAGGCAAATGTACAGAACAGAGATTCGGATGGCTAGAATGGCAAGAAAAGCGGGCAACTTCTATGTACCTGCAGAACCCAAATTGGCATTTGTTATCAGGATCAGAGGGTAAGTTCAGTTTTTACTGTATCTGGTTTAAAGGGAATTTTAGAAGCCTCAGTAAAATTTCCTGTTAATTCAGGAAGGACTTATCTAAAACATGGGAATAACAATGCTCAGGTGTGACTAGAAAAAAGCATGGGTGTCATTTTAAGGGGTTAGTTACAAGCCCTGTCCTAAAGCTCCTGTCTACTTTAATTAAATCAGGAGGAGYTCAGGGTCCTGTCAGTTGATTTCAAAAGAAGTTAAAGTGTACAGTCAGTATGGTRCTATAACAAAGATAGGTGATAACACAAGTCAGGACCTTTTACTGGTACTTATCAAAAAATAGTTGGAGAGGAAGCAGGTTGGTGGGAATTATAGGGTAAAGAGGAAAAACATCAGTGATATTTGGTTTTTGTGGGATATGTGTGATCAGTTTTTTTTAGTTTTCTGTCAGTTGAAGTAAAAACTGATAAAAAAAATTTTTTTTTTTGATCCCTTTTCACTGCAGTATCAATGGTGTGAGCCCAAAGGTTCGGAAGGTGTTACAACTTCTTCGCCTTCGCCAGATCTTCAATGGCACCTTCGTGAAGCTCAACAAGGCTTCAATTAACATGCTGAGGATCGTGGAACCTTACATTGCATGGGGGTAAGTGCCTTTTTTTCTTGGATTTCTGCTTGGCAAATAGACTGGTATAGTGAGGTGAAATTTAGATGTTTTGATAGCAGTAACCTTTTTCTTTGATCATGTACGTCTGCTTTTTGTATTTCAGGTACCCAAACCTGAAATCAGTGAATGAACTAATCTACAAGCGTGGATACGGCAAAATCAATAAGAAAAGAATTGCCTTGACAGATAACGCTTTGATTGCTCGATCTCTTGGTAGGTTCTTTTTGTTTGGGGGAAGTTTGATATTAGATGGTGAAATTTTATGGCCTCTCATGTCCTTAATTTTCTCACTAATGAATCTTCACATTATTTCCTATAATCCTTCATTAAAGAAAACATGAGATAATTTCATTGCACGGGTGCTTTGGCACTGAGCTACATCCCAGCCCTTTAGTTTTTATCTTGAGACAGTGTCCTCAAACTTCTATCTTCTGTCTCTGCCTGTGCCAGTAATCCCAGTGACTCAGACATAAGCATGCAATATGGCGCCCTTCTGTTTACTTCTTTTTTTTTTCTTTTTTAGGTATACGGTATACATGATTCTGTTTACTTTTGATTTGCATTTAGCTCAGCTTGTAAATGTGCTTTTTTGTATGCCTTAAAATTTAAGCAATCACAAATGAATTTTTTTCCAGGTAAATATGGCATCATCTGCATGGAAGATCTGATTCATGAGATCTACACTGTTGGAAAACRCTTCAAAGAAGCAAATAACTTCCTGTGGCCCTTCAAATTGTCTTCTCCAAGAGGTGGAATGAAGAAAAAGACCACCCATTTTGTAGAAGGTGGAGATGCTGGCAACAGGGAAGACCAGATCAACAGGCTTATTAGAAGGATGAACTAAGGTGAGAAACTGCATCCTGGGAGAAAGTAGTAGTCTTAATAATTTAATGTGATTTTGAATATAATCAGTACTCTTCAGTGGGGGAGGGGTGATATATGATTAGTTGGTTTAGTTACTCCTCTCCTTCCTTTTGAAGACATTTCTGGAGGGAAGGAAGCCCCCCTCCTTTTTATCAATTTAAAAATGGAAGTTGGGTGTCCTTAAAAATACCCCTAATTTAATGTTAATCTTTAGCTGCTAAGAGTCTTTAATAGGTTTGTTTTCTTTCCCTTTCAGGTATCTACCATGGTATTTTTGTAATCTGGTCAGTTAATAAAACAGTACCTGCTCTCAATGTATTGGTGATTTGTTAGTCTGCCTCTGCCTTCCTTCAGCTATGATGGTGAATCTTTTTTTATGATGGTGAATCTTGATGTATACGAATTCAGTCATATCAACAGAAAACCTGGGTCAAGTTTTTATGTTGTGAAAAAACATTTTATCATACACATTTAATTGCTGAAGTCCCATGTCTCAGACACTGGCTTGTCTGAAAACTACTGTGTGAATGTGTTATTTTTCCTTTTGTATTCCATTTTTTCATTCTTATTTTGCATCTTTTGCCCAAATTTAGAAGAGATATTAGTAATTCCATTATTACATTGTGGATATTAAGTAGAAGTGAAATTAAAACACTTGGCAGTTGAAATGAGTGAGCAAAACTTTGAAATAAAAAGTCTTTACATGTAGAGGATAACAAAGT